TACTTGCATCTGTAATAGTAATTGTAGTAGTGGTAGTAGTAGTAATAGTAGTAGTCGTAGTCGTAGTAGTAGTCGTAGTAGTAGTAGGAGTATTAGTAGTCGTATGAGTGGGAATATTAGTAGTAGTCGCAGTTCCAGTCGTAGCAGTCGTTGTAGTAGTAGTAGTAGTAGTAGTAGTAGTAGTAGTCGTAGTAGTAGCTGTAGTAGTTGTACTTGTAGTAGTAGTAACAGGTGTAGTAGTAGCAGTAGTAGTAGTCGTCGTCGTAGTAGTAGTAGTAGTCGTAGTAGTAGTAGTACTAGTAGTAGTAGTAGTAGTAGTAGTAGTAGTAGTAGTAGAAGTAGAAGTAGTTATGGTAGTTGTAGTAGTTGTTTTGTGTGTGATCGTAGTGGTAGCAGTAGTGTCAGCAGCAGCAGTAGTAGAAGTACTATTCGCAGCCGTAGTAGAAGTAGTTGTAGCAATGGTATTGGCAATGGTAGCAGCTGTAAATTTCCTAAATCGTAGCAGTAGTACTGGTAGTGATAGCAGTACGAGTAGTACCAGCAGCAGCAGAGCCAGTGGTGGTAGTAGTTGTAGTAGTAGTATTACGATTAGTCGTCGGTGCAGTAAGTTTCCGCAGCGCTCGTATTCGTAATAGTCGTAGCCGTTGTCGTCATAGTAGTAGGTGTGGTCTCAGGTGCAGCAGGAGTCGCAGGTGTAGAAGTAGTGGTAGTCGTAGTAGGAGTAGTAGTAGTAGTAGTAGTAGTTGTTGTAGTAGTAGTGGTAGTAGTAGGAGGAGTAGCAACCTCGTCATAGTAGCAGTGCTCGTGATAGTAGTAGTTGGCCTTGGTAGTAGCATGCAGTAATACGGGTCCTTATAAGGGGTAGCAGCAGTCGTGGCAGTAGCAGTGCTGGTAGTAGTAGTAGTAGTAGTAGTAGTAGTAGTAGTAGTAGTAGTAGTAGTAGTGGTAGTAACAATTGCAGTTCTAGTACCAGCTCTCGTCGTAGTAGTACTCGTGGCTAGTGGTGCTTCCTGGTATTCGCTAGTAGTAGTACTGCAACATAGTAGTAACAGTCGTAGTAGTAGTAGTCGCAGTCGTAGCAGTAGTAGTAGTAGTAGTAGTAGTAGTAGTAGTAGGCAGTAGAAGGTAGCAGAAGTAGTAGTAGTAGTAGTAGTAGGGGTAGTAGTAGCAGTAGTGGCAGCAGTAATCGCAGTCCCATTACGAGTACTCGTCGTAGTACGCATCGTAGCTATTGGTGGTTCCCGACACCCGCTAGTCGCAGTATTGTAACTTTGTGGTAGCAGTCGCAGTAGTAGTAGTAGTAGTAGTAGTAGTAGTAGTAGTAGTAGTAGTAGAAGTAGTGGTAGCAGTCGTAGTAGTAGTCGCAGTAGTCGTAGTAGTCGTAGCCGTAGTCGTAATAGCAGAAGCAGTAGTAGTAGAAGTAGTAGTCGTAGTAGTAGCAGTACGAGTACCAGTACAAGCACCGCGTCGAACTTAGCAGTCGTACTCGTACGCAGTAGTAGTAGGAGTAGTAGTAGTAGCAGCAGCAGCAGCAGCAGCAAGCAGCAGGTGCCGTAGTAGTAGTCGTAGTCGTAGCAGTAGTAGTAGTCGTAGTAGTAGTAGTCGTCGTAGTAGTAGTGGTAGCAGCTGTAGTAGTAGTAGTAGTAGTAGTAGTAGGAATTGTTGTAACTGTAGCAATAGTAGTCGTAGTAGTAGTAGTAATAGTCGTAGTAGTATTTGTCGTCGTACTCAGTAGTAGTAGTACTAGTAGTAGTAGTAGTAGTAGTAGTAGTAGTAGTAATCGTAATAGTCGTAGTGGTAGTAGTATTAGTAGTAGTAGTAGTAGTAGTAGTCGTCGTAGTAGTAGTAGTAGTAGTAGTAGTCGTAGTCGCAGTAGTAGTAGTAGTAGTAGTAGTAGGCGTCGTAGTCGTAGTAGTAGTAGTAGTAGTAGTAGTAGTAGTAGAAGTAGTAGCAGTAGTAGCAGTAGTAGTCGTAGTTGTTGTAGTAGTAATCGTAGTCGTAGTAGTTGTCGTCGTAGTAGTCGCGGTAGTTCGGGTATTAATGGTAATAGTTCATTTGGCCCAACGATGTAGCAGTAGTAGTTTTAGTCGTAGTGGTAGTCTTACTAGAACGTAGTAGTAGCAGCATTGGCACTTAGTAGTGGTACGAGGCTGAATCCCGACCGCTTCTCCAGAATACGCGCGATAGCCACAATAATGTGCCCGTTGAGACCGAGGGCCATAATGCTGTCGGAAGGTTGATTAGTGTGCTTTCTCGACACCGCAGAGTTTGCCGATCTCTCTCCCACTCTCCCTGTTCCCTCCCCCCCCCTACCCCCCCACTTGGATGCCGAGGCAACGCTTCAAGGGTGCGGGAATTGTTATCCTTCTACTGGAGGGGGGGTGGGGGGGATTATGAATTACCTCTTCGGGCGAATGACTTGGCTATGGGGTTGCACGCTGCAGGTAGCCCCCCAAGCAGGAGGATCATGGTTAGACACAAGAGCCAAGCACAGGCAGGACGAATAGAGTGATGCAGTTGCCCTGTCAGTCCTGAAGGTGGTAGATGTTGATCCCTTGTTTTCTGGTCCGACAACGTATCGGACGAGTGACTGCCGCCCCTTGTTTTGCTTGGAAATGCCTATGCGATTGAATGTTGGGCCACCGTTTGGCTGAGCTATTGGGCTATGTGCTCCCCCAGCTGTCCATGAGACCATCAACTGGACATGGGGAGGCGATCCTTTATCATTGATTGGCCTCTTGGGCATTCTTGGGGGACTTCCAGAGCGCTCCCAGGGCATCTAGGAGATTCCTGAGACCGTGAACGATACTTCTCGGCTGCGAGCCTGGCGGGAGGTGAAAATGGGCGGGCCTTCTCGGAATGCTCGGAAGTCTCCCAGCGTTCTGAAGCATTCGCCGAACTTCTGGGACCGTCCCGAGGACCACGCGGCGCTGTGCGAGTGAACGCTCCGAGGCATCGTTGCAGCAGGCAGGGGCCCGCTGCAGCAATGGCAGGCAACACGTTTTTTTGGGGCGCGTGTTCTCAGAGGGACCAGGGTGCTCAAGCACTCCTTTTTCGTCGGCGTTTGCAAATCGGCGGCGAGCGAGGGGGGAAGAGAGAAGGAGAAGGCCTGCTCAGAAGGCAGTGGGACTTCTCAGAAGCACTTGCGCATTATGGTAAGTTTCCGGTGTCTTCGGAGAAAGCTTGGGAAACTTTTCAGGAGGCTGGGGGGTTTTCGAGCCCTCTGAGAAGGCCCGCCCATTGTCACTTGCCCCCTGGGCTCGCCGCCGATGTTTCGTCGGCGACTACAGGAGGTGTGGTTGCGCCGGGATGTGGTTTGCGATCGGCGCCGTCGATGCTTGTGGGGCACAACGCCGTCCTCGTCGGACCTCCTCGGGGCGCGGCGGAGGGCCCTATCCAGGTCCCCGCCCGCCCCCCAGAGTGCCCCCCAGGGTGCGGGTTGCACACCACACCCTTTGCAATCCACACCCTTCGGAGTCGCCGACCTTTCAAAATGTGCAATCTACAGTGAGCGGCTTGAATAAGGAACACTTCCTTTCCAAAAGGGGCTCGGTCGTTCCTTAGGTTTGCATGCGTTATTTACAGTTCCTTACGCGTTGTTTGTTATGTATCGTTCCTTATGCGTTATTCCTTGGGGTAAAAGAGGGGCTTCGTTCCTTATTTATCGTTTCTCAGGTCAGGCCGATGACCGTGCTGGCTTCCAGACTGAGCGGGCCTCCTGGCAGGTCGAGGCGCCGCAGCAGGAGGACAGCGACGACGCCCCCCTCGCCGGGCGTGCGGTGCGCGCCCGCCGCAGGCGTCGCATAGGCGTGGCGCCCAGAGGGCCACGGGCAGTTGTCGGAGTTGGCTCTCGCAGACCCGCGGGCCCAATTCTGGCGCACGGCACCTGCGAACCCAGGGCCCTTGCTATGTCCAAGTTGCACGTCTGCAGTGTTGAAGTGTTCAGCTTGATTCGGGCAGGGGATGCGCAGCCCAGATGTCAGAACGGATCGAATTCTGCGCTTCGCAGAGAGCCCACACTGCAACGTGGCGTGGGCGCTGGAGTATGGCTTCCGGCCGAATATAAACCATAAACAGTTGGAGCATCGAGCAATCACATCTAAAGTGGTCGTCATTGCAGCCAGCGAAGCGCCAGGCGGCATCAGGCAACCAAATCTGGCTTGGGACTCCTGCATGCGTGCGCAATCATACTCATGATCTTGCTTCATGTAGGTCCCTGCCCCAGCCTTCCCACCCAGGCGTTACCGTTACCCGCGCCCCCCCCGGTCCCCCTGGTTAACGATCGTTACGCGCGATAACAAAACAGGATATCCATTGTTGCATCCAGCTCGTGAAATTGCGACGGATGTCGACTGCCCGTGATACGACATGACCGATGTGGGGTTCCCGGAGACCCTCGTGAGGGAGCAGGGACATCCAAGCTTGTGGATCTAGCCGTTTCCATAAAGGAAGCGGCAACAAGTATGATGCAATGCTGCAGTATCGGGAATTATCCTACCGCGTCTCCCGAGACATCTACATCCTCGAGTTAGTTTTGATTCTCAATTCCGAGCGTGCGCAGCGCCGTCCCGTTTCGATCACATCCTCTCGCAGAGCGCACGCGCGAGAGAGAGAGAGGACCAGAAAGATAGAGAGAGAGAGAGAGAAAGCTACGTGAGCTGACTCTCTACCCTACCCTGTGCTATACCCCCCTTTCGTCCCCCCGATTTACCCTTCCTCTCGTCGGGACGATGGGCAAAGAGCGAGCCCCCAGAGGCGCTCGCGCCGCGAAGAGGAACAACAACGGCGTGGGGTGTCGGGCCGTTCTCGGCCTCGGGGGGGTGGACCTCGCCGGGACCCGGGGACGTCAAAGAACTGCCCGGGGGTGAAAAATGTCAGGCGATCCTCCTCCTCCTCCTCCTTCTCCTCCTCCTCCTCCTTTTGCTCCTCCTCCTCCTCCTCCTCCTCCCTTTCCTCCTCCTCGTCCTCGTCCTCCACCTCGCGCGAGGGGTGCGCGAAGCGGCGAAGGGGGCGCCGCGCAGGTCGACGGCTTCGGGCTCGAGACCCGCAAGGGCTCAGGCGATCGCAAACATGGATCAGGGGGGCGTGGGTTAGCGACGGCCCTTTCTTTCCATGGGAAATCACGGACTTCCGCCGCCGAGCGAGGCGGCACCGGCCGCATTTTGGCGAGGGCACCTCCCCCGATCCATGGATCTGTCGACCGCGCGCCAAGTCCATGGATCGCTAATCCACGTTAGCGCCGCCCCCGAACATTGGGCTTCCGGGGGCGCTTCTGGACGTTTTGCGAAGCACAGCGTGCTCGGGAGCGAGGGAGGGGAGGATGATGATGATGATGATGATGATGATGATGATGATGATGATGATGATGATGATGATGATGATGATGATGATGATGAGGATGAGGAGGAGGAGGAGGAGGAGGAGGATGGTGGTGGTGGTGGTGGTGGTGGTGATGATGATGATGATGACGATGATGATGATGATGATGATGATGATGATGATGATGATGATGATGATGATGATGATGATGATGATGATGATGATGATGAGCGAGCGGCCACGGCGTTACCTGAAGGTTTGCCAGATAGTCAATTCTCATGCTGGAGGCCGGCTGTGCACGGGCTCCGGGCGGAAACTGCACTGCATGCAGCACGTCTCTCTTGCACAGAAAAGGAATGTAGAATATGTATGGCGTGGCGGGCACAGATGCCGCCGCGCGCGCCTCACCGCGTTGAGTCGGCCGGTCTTGGTGGCCGCCGCTGTCGAGCCACAAGGCGCCCTCTACCGGCCAGCATGTCGGCTCGTACCAGTTCTCGATCGGCTTGGTCCGCGGCCTCGATCAAGGAGTCCTCGTATCTGTGGAGCCGGCCCGTGCGCATCATCTCACGGCAAACTTGGGAGCTGTACTGCAAGTGGTGGACAGCCCGCGGTCGGGATCCGTAGTCTTTGCCGCATGCTGGGCATGTGGACGTGATGCAATATGCCCGAGCCGTGGCAACTACGCGATGGGCTCGGTGCCGGTGGCCTGCGAGGCCGCGCCATCCCCTGCACCACTTGTGACACAGGTCGCACTGGAGAAGCTGTTGCGCCCGGGTCAGGGTCGAGCGCTGGGCTTCGGCCTCTTCGACTTCGGCAGCCATTGGTGGGGGGGTTTGCTGTGCAAGGACCCCCGGGCGAGTCGGGAGAAGAGCGATCGCCCTCACAATCCTCTTCCAACGTGGGCGGGATGCTGTGATATAGCGTGCCCACTGCGCTGGTGCCACCGCCGGCGACGGCAGATGGCGCAGTTCTTCGGAGTGCTCCCACAGCAGGGTGAGGTCGTCGAGGAGGAGGCGGGCATGCGGCGGCTTAGGCTCCGCACAATGGATGGCACGAAGGTAAGCTGGGCCGTCCAGCAAAACTGGCAGCAGCTGTAGTCGCCTGTATGTGATCGCCATGTCCAGGGCGGAGTGCCCGAGCTGCGTGCACACCTGGTCATCGCTGACGTCGGTGTGGCCGAATCGAGGGTGTCCCAAGATCTGCCGCCGCGGTTCCGTAGCCATTTTGGCTCAAGGCTCAATCCCGTTCCCGGGGGATTGATCCTTGGTCGCTGCCGACGGGGAGGCTCGAGGGCCCCTCCAGCAGCTGGAGCTTCACATTTGCACTGCCACTCTTTCTTCTCCGCTCCTGTTCCCATGCCTGCCTCTGGCAATCGTGCTCGTGGCAACCGCCGAGAGATATCGAGTGATGGCAGCTCATCAGAGGTTCGCTCCAAGAGTCGATCGAGCAGGGAGGTATCCAACTCTCGCGACACGAAGTTCGACCTCATCATATCGGGGCTACAAGGGTTGACTCAACAAGTTGCGAACAACTCGGCGGAGGTCTCGAAGCTCAAGTCCCAGATGGACATGCAACTCATGCGCTGCGACCAACTCACGACGAGCATGCAAACGATGGGCAACGATATCCACAGTCGCATCACACATATGGAAGGGATCCATGCGGCATGTACGACTGACCTGCGCGAGTCCATCGAGAAAATGAACGCCAGGGTCTGTTACTTGGAGAGCTCACCGACGCCGATTGCTGCATCGGACTCCTCCTCTGCTGCTAGCTCTCACGTTCAGAAGAAGATTGCAGACATTGAGGAGAAATTATCTATTCTGTCTTCGGCAGGCTCCACACGTTCTACGCGTGTTGAGAACACTGTGCGCACGGAGCAGACGAATGACAACCACACGAAGCTGATCGTACTGGGCTTCCCGCGTCGTATGCTGGCCTCCACGCTCAAGGCCATCGGTGAGGCGATCCGCACCAAGTACTCGCCCACGGCTTCCCACGCTCGTATCGTGATCAAAGCCTTTGATCTTACTCGTAAAATATCTCTCCACTTCGAGTCAGCGACGGAGGCGAGCGACTTCCTCCTGAGGTTCGAAGCTGATGGCAAGTTTGAGTTTCCTGATCCGTTGGGCCAGCAGCCGTTCTCTCTTCGCCTTCGTCGCGACGTTGATGCTCGCTTTCGCCAACTTTTCCTCAGCATGGGCAGGGTGAGGCACGAGATGACGCAACTCTTGCGTCCGCGGGGTTACGACGTCAACAGCAATGGCGTTGGCGGTAGCATCTACGTTCTTCGTACCAAAGACGACCCCGTCGTGCTGGCCTCTCTTCGGCTGGCGTCGGACGATGCCACCGTCGAGCTGGACCTTGACATGTCAGCCCTTGAGGAGTTTGGCATTCACCAGCACGCTGAGGCTTTTCGTTCTGCCGCAGCGGTGATGCTGCGATCGCCCTTTCGGCGATGATCAATGCTGTCTGCTGCCTGCTCTGCCGTGTTCCAATATTCCTCTTCCTTCCTCTGATTCTCATACAGTTGATGACATCGGTGACGATAGGCCTCTCCGCTCCAATTGTCTTCCCTTCTCTCCCATGTGCCCGCTGTCCCTCTGCAGCTGGAACACGCACGGTCTTTTTAGCAGCGTGCGCTGTGGCTCATGGCGTGCCAGTGCGAGGTATCAGTTGTTCCTCTCCCTCTCCCGACGTTTTCAGATCGTCTGTGGTCAGGAAACTCACGGTCATATTGGTGATATTGAAGAGCTCCGCAAGGAGCTGGATGGGGCTTCTCCTGGAGTCAACATCGGTTTCTCGGGATTTGAGGATTCTCAGCGTGAAGGTGGGGTTGTTACTGTCTTGGGTCCTCAGGTCTCGGCCATCTTTCCTCGTATTTACCATCAGGCTCTTATTGTTGGTCGTATTCTGCAAACGACGTGTATTGGCCCCTCTGGTGTGTTTGTCCTCTTTAACGTTCACATGCCCAACACGAGCGACACGCTCGCCACTTACTCTGCTGCGTTGCGTGTTCTTCAAGCAGCAGTCAAGGAGGCTGGCGCAGCGCATTGCATGATCATTGGTGGTTTTAACTTTGCTTTGGAGGAAGAGGGGAGGATGCAAGGAGACGGGAGCGGATGGACGCATGGTGATCGGGCCCACTCTCGCCTTTTTCACCGCATGTTTCCGACGCTTACTGAGGTGTATCAGGAGTCCGACACGAGGAGGGAGGTTCGCGATGGCGTCATTCGACACACGGCTCGTCTCGATCGGATATATACCACTTTACCTCAGGCTTATCTTAGGGACTACGATGTCCGATGTGGTGTGGTTGGCCGCCTTCAAGCTCGCTCCCCGAGCGACCACATCCCTGTCTTTGCCTCCCTGTCGCCTCTCACTCCCGACAAGGACTTCCCTACCATCCCCAAACACATCGCTGCTCATCCTGAGTTCTCCTCCCTGCTTGAAGCCTTGGTGGTCGAATTTGATGCGCACACGAGGGATCTCTCCGTGCGGGACCGCTTGGAGGCGATCAAAGCTCTCATGTTTGTTGCTGCCCAGCAAGTCCGCGAGCTTTTGAAGGTCACTGTCGCAACATCTTTAGAGCTGAAACATCACTGGGCGATGTTCGCTCTGAGGGGAGTCAGGTTGAGGAAGGGGTGGATGATTGGTTCTGCGCTCAAGTGCTACTCCGCGTTGTCCTCTCACTTTAACGTTCACGCGCTCGAGTGCACGAATATTCGGGGCCTCTGCGCCCTGATTCGCTGCATCCAGATGCAGCTCCTGGACCAGGAACAAGAGGAGATCGAGCGTTCTGATGCACCTGTGCCGACGAAACAGAACTTGAAAGCCCGTGTTCTTCGTTTTCAGGAACTCTGGAGGAGATTTCGAAGCCGTACCGCCGTGTCTTGTATCTATGAGGAGTCTGGGGAGCCTTGTGTCTCTTTGGAGCGGTCTGCGGAAGTTCTTCGGGATCATTGGGCTGGAGTGTTCGCTCCCTGTGAACTTGACGAATCCCTTTGGCCTCAGGTCTCTGCTCACATCCAACAGTTACCCGAGGAGCTTCCTGTGGAGTGGCTTGTTCCTTATCCTACGTTTGTTGACTACGTTCGAGCCAGATGCCACAGCATGCCTGGCCCTGATGGCATCCCGTACCGTGCATGGCGAGCCGAACCCGCATGCCGAGCCCTTTACGATGCCTACCTGTGTTTCTTCCACGGCACCGTCGAAGCTCTTCCCGCTGATATGTGTCACAGTCTTATGGTGTTCCTACCGAAAGGCTCGGATGATCGTGATGATGGTCCTCGTGTCTCCCGTCGTCCGCAAGATACCCGCCCCCTTAGCATGAGCAACACTGACATTAAAATCTTAGCGGGTATTATGTCGATCCCTCTTGCCGCCAATTCCTCTTCCCTCATCTCGCCTGCACAGAAGTGTGTGCACGCCAGGGACATGGTAGCCAACATTGTCGAGGCAGAAGCTTGGGGGGTAGAGCAATTTGCACGTGGTCATGACAATGCTGGCCTATTGATGACTGACTTCTGCGCTGCGTTCCCCTCGCTCGCGACGCAATGGCTTTTGCATGTACTCACCCGCATGGGCATCAGTTCTGCGGTTATTCGTTTCTTCACGCTGCTGTATCAAGCTCAGTATGCCACTATTGTACTGGGAGGGAAGAGGCATGGGAGGATTTGCATGGGGAGAGGAGTGAAGCAAGGATGCCCATCCAGCATGCTCCTTTTTGTCCTGGCGGCTGACCCCTTGCTCAGATGGGTCCAAGCATCGCTCGGGCCTCACATAGCACTCTCGCTAGCATACGCAGACGATTTCTGCTTCGGTCTTCCCGATATATTTACTTCGCTGGGGCCCGTCTTTCACAAGTTGGAAGACCTTGAGCGTATTGCGGGGCTTCGTCTCAATTATCACAAATGTCAGTTACTCCTGGTTGGGAATAGTGATATCTCCTGGGTTCGGTCCTCTGTCAAAGTTCTGAAGGGTGACATCAAACGGCTTCAAGTGCTCCACTGTGTCAAATATCTTGGGATGTGTATTGGTCCTCGGGGATCCTCTGAGGTCTGGTCGGAGGCTCTTCGGAAGTTCAGGCTCCGTGTGGGGACCTCTCGCCGTCTGGGCTTGGGTCTTACTCGTGCTGCGGTCGCTTTTCGTGTCATGTGTGTTTCCGTGCTTGGCTTTATTCTCCAGCTCAACCCTATCAGTAAGCAGCTTCTGCACGCCTATCGGGAGTCTGTCATGTTCCTCGCGGCTGGTCCGAGGAATGCATTCAGTTATGCTATGTGTACGCAGCTTCGCCAGCTTAATCTTCCTGTTGAGTTTCCCGAGCTGGTGTCGCTGGCCAGAGCGACATGCTTGAGGTATATCTTGAGGCGCCCTGCTGTTTTAGAAGTATTCGCCCGTCTATCTTCTCTCGAGTTTGATGATGACGTGATTATGGTTCGTGTTCGTACCGGCTGGTGGAAATCCAGCTTTCTTTCTTACATGCGCACACTGTATACATGGTACACGAGTATCCCGATGCGTGTTGATGAGTCGAATCGCAAACTCCAAGCTCTACTATACGCTCGCTGTCTTAAGCACTTTGGCCCTCGGGAAGATGCCCGCAGTATTCTCTATCGTCGGATTTCGGCATGGTTCCCTCAACTTACTCTTCCGATGATGGATCGTTTCTTCCTGAACTCGTTCGTCCTTGTCGAGAATACCCAACCATATCTGTTGGTAGGCATATATCGTTTCTTGTGCCGTGGTCTATGTTCCTCTCGTAGATTTCATGCCAGATCGGCTGGGTGTTTGTTGGGATGCCGAGATGATGGTTCTCAAGACCTTGATTCAGTCGAGCATTACAGTCGTTGCCCTCGTCTTGCTGCTCTCTTCCGTCGTTGGCTTGGTCACTTATTTATTTCGTCGTCGTGGTTACCTGAGGGTTCGCCCTGGCTCCTCCCTTTCCTTCTGCTGTCACCGTCGCCGATGTCATCCAATGTTCTGTTTGCCGCGTGTATAGATGCTTTTGTTGCTGCCCACAACAACCGTCGTCTCGGCATCCCGGGCTCTGTTGAGCAGCATTTTGAGGCTCGACTGAGAGTCACTGCTCGGAGGCACCGTTTTGTTGCCAATGCCTGGAGGAACCAGGCTATGGTATTTTTCTCGTCCTCCTCCCCCTCCTCCTCCTCTCTGGCAGTGCGTGATGTTTCAGCTGTTTCGGGGCCCTCGGAGCCGCCCCGTGGCGTGCGCCACCAGGGCGGCCCGCGTGGCCGATGGCATGCCCGCGGTCTTCGCCCCCTTTTGGGTGCCGCTGCACAGAACAGTGGCGAAGGGAGTGTGGCTCCAAGTGCTGCACCTAGTACGTTCAGGGGTTGTCCTGGGGATCAAGGATGAAAAAAAAAAAAAAAAAAAAAAAAAAAAAAAAAAAAAAAAAAAAAAAAAAAAAAGATCTGCCGCCGCGGTCGCATGTAGGCCGCCTGCGTGCTGCGTCTGGCCACCGGGTCGTCCTGCAACCACAGCTCTGCGCCAAAAAGGAGCTGGGAGTCCAGAGGCGAGCACGCCAGGGAAGCGCGAGTCGCCTCCGGAAGCGCGGGGCGCGGGAGTCGAAGACGGCGTGGGCCATATGGCCTTCGCCTGGGCGTCGAGCATCGATCGCCCAGAGGTCTGAAGGGTCGTCCCAACGTGCTTGTAATGGCGCACGATGCCGCAGCGCCAGGCGTTGGAGTCCAGCCCTAGGTCGCCTGCTTCATCTCGAAGCTGATTGTATGCCGCGCGGGCACGGTAGCCATTGTGGCTCAAGGGCCAAAATGGTGATTCAGTCACTGCCTCAGCGGGGTAGGCTCCCATCGATCCGAAAGCAGCGTCTCATTTGCGGGTGGGCCGCGTCCACTCATTTCGCATTCAGTGCCGGGGAACGCCATGGCGGCTGCGGGGGCGCCGCAGGGCAGCATGGAGGCGAATTGGCAGTGCAAGAGCTGTCACACCTTCAACTGGCCCTGCAAGAACGCGTGCCGCACCTGTGCAGCAATTCGTTGGCCGGCTCCCGCTGTTGTAACAGCGAAGCCGGTAACGGCAGCCGGTCCAGCAGCGTTGGCTACGTCAACGTTGAAATCGACAGCGCCGTCACGTCCGCCCATGAACGCCGCCAAGGGCAAGGATGGCTCCAAGAAGATCAAACACAAGTCCATGGACCCGAACTCGATCAATCCAGGACGTGCCCCTCACGGAGAAGGCGAGGCTCAGTCGCCTCCAGCAGCTACCGACATCGCTGCAGCAGGCTGGGGCATCCGATGCAGCCCTCGGCTTCATCGATGCGGACATCACTGCGATCCGCGAGACGATGGTCGACACCAGGACGCTCGACGAGCAGCTCGCAGGCATCACAGGGGCAATCACTCGAACAGAACGCCGTGCACAAGCAGCCCAGGACGCCATGGCGCAAGCCCAGGCCGTGCTCCAGAAGGAGGAGGAACAGCTGGCGCGCCACCGCCAGTCTTCGGCCGATGTTCAGGCGAAGATCCGCCGCGAGGCGGGCCTTTCGTCGTCTTTCCGCCAGTGGCGGGCGCCGTCCCGCCTTGGTTGGGTCGCCAGCGCCCTGCAGGACACGGCCAACTGGCTCCGGGGGAACACGGACAAGCAGGCGCAGCCCGGGGAGGTCGCCACGTGGCTCGAGAACCTCACCCAGACTCTATCGCCATCACCGCCATCCCCAACTTCACAGACACAGACGCCGACCTTTGCCTACAGCGCCCAGATCCCGCACCACTGGTGCGAGCGCCGCTGGGGCCCAGACGGATGGCTCTACTCCCAGGAACAGTTCCACAGCTGGTTCGGGGCGGAGGCGGGGGAGGAGATCTGGGATGCGGCCCTCGACGCGAGGATGACAGACCATACCAAGAGGACAGCAGAGGAGATCTCCGTGGGAGGGGGGGCTCCGAGGACATGGAGACGGACCTCAAGGAGGAGCCCGCGCAGCGGAACCAGGACGTCCTGGCGGAGGCGAGCGACTCGCTCACGCCCGCCACCGGCCGCAGGCCCCTGCGGACCAAGCAGGGCGTCCCCGAGATCTCACCGCACGCGCCCCCAACGCCACAGCCGGGGGAGCCCGGGTCGACAGCACCTCTGGCAGGAGCTGCCAGCGGGGGGGGCGTAGCCGACTAGACACTTCCACACGAGAGACCTCCTCAAGCCGCTGGGGGGGAGCACCCCGCACCTGCCCAGCAGGCTCTTCGCAGACTTCACGGGAAGCAGTCCGCTGATTTCGGGCAAAGATGGCTTTGCCTTGCTTCGGCCAACGTTACCGCGCTCAGCCCCGCTGAGTACAGGAAGAATGCGAAGGCCGGCATCGACTCCACCACCCGCGTCGACTACCTGGATGACCTCTTTCACCGCCACAGGCTCGACATCATCTTCGTCCAAGAAGTGCGCCTGCTCCACGATGTCACATCGACGGGCACTCACTACCTCCGCCACGTGGCGGCAGGGGACAAAGATGGGAACTACGGATCACAGATTTGGTTCCGTCATGCCGTTTTTAAGGATGCCACCATGGTCTCCAAGGTGACCAGCCCCCGCATCATCCTCACGCGCGCGGCCCTGGGCAACACCTTCTTCTATGCCACCTCGGCCCACGCCCCCACCGACGCGGCCCCAGAGCAAGAGAAGTTCGCATTCTGGAAGCTCCGCAGGGACACCCTCCGGAGCCTCCCACGCCGAAGGTGCATCGCCTTCGGAATCGACTCGAATGCTGACGACAAGGACACCGCCCCAGGGTCTAACCGATTGTTCGTGCAGGAGCTCATGGAAGAACTCTCCGGCGACGACGTGGCGCAGCACCATGAAAATCTCACCCCCACCTGGAGGAGCTCCCAAGGCTCGCACAGGCGGCTGGACCGACTCATTACTTTCGGGGAGGTCTGGCACCAGGCTGGCTCGGGGGGTCGTCTTTTGCCTGGCCGACGTGGTCCAGGCATCTTGGTGGAGCTCCACCGACGAGTACCTCGAATTCATGTCGAAGGAGCATTATAAGCTGCAACAGTTCTACTTCGCAGCGCCGGCACCCAAGCTGCCGCGCAAGCCGTGGCTCTCGCAGGGCACCTGGGCCCTGGTCAAGACGACGCCCAACGCTCGCACGGCCTACCTTCAGGCCACCAGAGCCGCGAAGACAGCCACCCTGCAGTTCTTCTTCCAGGCCTGGTCCAAGCCTGCATGCAGAGCCACATCCGACCTCCGAGCCGTGGAATCGCACAGGGCGCATTGCCAATGGGGACCTGTAGCCATACATCCAAAAGCCCATTCTTGAACCGTGAAGGACAAGGTCAAGGATTTGACCGCGAGGCCTGGACTTCGGCTCTGGCCCAGGAAGCCGCAGCCGCTGCCGACCACGGTGACACGTCCACGCTGTACCGCATCGCCAAACAGTTGAGACAGGGCCAGAGGCCCAAAGGCCATTCATCTTTGATCACTGAGAACGGCACGCTGCTCTTCTACCCAGAGGACATCGCCGCCGACTGGCCTGCGTACTGGGCTGGCTTGTACAGAGGGCAGGTCACGACCGCGGGTCAGCTCAAGTCCGCACCGCAGTGCAATGCCGGTTGCCTGGTCGGCAAGGCGCCTGCTCCACCTCTCGACTGGCAAAGATTCCCTGGCGCTTCGCCAGACCATGTCGCCGACATCATCGCCCACCTGCCCGGCCGACGTGCCGTCGGGCCGGACGCCCTCCGCCGCGACGTTGCCACAGCAGCGGGCGAGGGCTGCCCTCGGATGCTTTCTCCACTCTTCGAGGCATGCCTGCTGCAGCAGAGGGCCCCAGTGCACTTGAAGGGTGGAACGGGCTTCATTATCCACAAGAAAGGCCCGACCCACATCAAAGACAATTATCGCGGAGTGGTCGCCGAGACAGCCTTCGCGAAAACCCACACCGACCTTATCTCCATGCCGTTTCTGCCATCTTACCGGGACGTGCTTGTGCCCGAGTCGCAGGCAGGGTGCGTGAAAGGACGTGGCACGGCTTCCGCAGGAGCCGCCACCGCTGGTTGGATCTCTCGGCATAACGCCACTCGGCGCTGCTGGGCCATCCTTTTCCTAGACCTCAGCAAGGTCTTCGACACGGTCTTCAGGGAGTTGGCCCTGGGTCCGAGGGATGTATCGCTCACGAAGCTCATCCCCGCCTTGATGCAACGAGGCGTCCCGCCTGATGTGGCCAGCGCCGTCCACAAGTACCTCAAAGTCCACGGCAACAGAGTGTTCGATGGCGGAATCGAGCTGGCGGCGGCCCAGCTGATCGCAGATTGGCACAATGGCACATGGTCGCACGTGCGACCCAACGACGGACGCGACGTCACGCCAGTCACTGACGACACGCCGGTTGCCTCGTCGACCATCGGGGCGCGCCAGGGCGACAAGCTCGGCGCCATCATCTTCAATGTCGTCTACGACATCATGCTGGCCGAGGTGCGCGAGAGGCTCAAGGAGCTTGGCGTCTCGTCCCGCATGGCCGTCCCCACGGATGCCGTGCCCTGGCACACCAACGTCAACCCAGAAGGTGACCTGGAGGAGATCACCGTCGACGATTTAGCGGAGCTCTTCGAGGCGGATACGCCGGCACAGCTCATCGACAGCCTCACGCAGGCCGTCAATGTGTTATACGAGGTGCTATTTCGCTACGGCCTCCAGATCAACTTCGACCCGGAGAAGACGGCCATCATGCTGCGCCTCTTCGGGAATGATGATGATGATGATGATGATGATGATGATGATGATGATCATCATCATCATCATCATCATCACCATCATCATCATCATCGTCACCATCAGCATCAACATGATTATGATCATGATGATGATCATGATGATGACGATCATGATGATGACGAAGAGGAGGAGGAGGAGGAGGAGGAGGAGGAGGAAGAGGAGGAGGAGGAGTTGAGAGAAAGGCTCGACACCCCGAGGTTCCCGCCAGGGAAGCCCTCCCGCCACCTCGGCCCTCAAGGGCGCGGAGACGGGCGCCGCCAGAGGCGGGGAGGGTGGCGGGCATCGCTCCCCTGTGGGCAGCCATCGCTGCCCACAGGGAGCGGCGGCCGACGCAATTCGGGCGCGTGCGAGCTGGACTTTTTAGGGAAAGTGTCGGAGACTCTGGGGGGCCCGTGTGCACAAAATCAAGACGCCGGGAGTTTGCACCGCCGGGTGCGGCGCGAATGCGCACAAGGGCCAGGAGCAGTTCGCGTGCATGTTGAACTGGACTCGCTGTCGGTGTCCCCGCATATGGTGTCCATGTGAGACAGAAGGCCGCCAGCCCAACAGCGGCTGCTGTTAGTTTGGGACAGAATACCTTGTTCGCCATTGTACACCTTTCTAACGTACCCATTTCGGGCGTCCAAATCTCGGCACGAACGACATGGGAATTCAGAGGAGGAACATGTACCGATATCGCTACTCTTCTGTCGTTTTCCGCCCCTTTGGAGCATCCTAGGATCGGGGGGGAAGAAGGCTGGGTCTCACCCAGGGCCGGGTTGGGGCGCAAATCCCACAAGAAAATCGGTCTTTGAGTGCATGCCACGCGCTGCAATCTGGCACGGGCCAAGTGAATCGCCCCCCCAATCGCATGGCGCACAGAGCAGCAGCGGTGTAGCGCGCGTCACGAAAACAATATTTGGGCGACTGCGTGAGTTCTGTTGGCCTCCTCGAGGGGGAGCTTGGCTTCGATTGACTTTCCTGCGCCATCCGAGGTTGGGCCACTGTTGTTGCGGGCAGTGCCCCGGGGCCCCCGCAGGGCCTCGGCGGGGCCTCCCTGGGCGTTCCGCGGGGCGTGTTTCCGACGGGCGCCCCGGGGCGAACCGTTAGGATCTCGGTTTCTTTCGCCCTACAACAGCGGCGTTGTTGTAGGGCCCTTGCATGTTGAAAATCTAATGGGAACCACGCCCATCGACCCGTCGAGATCTCAGTTTCTACCGACGACAATGCGTTTCGACCGTCCGCAGGGCCGATCTCCAGGCCCCGACGGCCCCGCAGGGATTGGTGCGCAATGTGCCCCAGATGGCTCCAAGAGCCTCTCCAAGGCCGTTCGTAGGGCTCCAAGAGAGCCCCGCGAGGGCCCCAACGGGGGCCGCAGATCCTTCCAGAGAGCCCAAATAGGGCTCCACTACCCCTTCAAAGGAGCCCCGAGAGGGCCCCCAGAAGCCCAGGGAGGACCCTGGACGTACGCGACGCGAGTGTTCGGGTGAATAACGAGTTATACATAATGAAGTTCAGGATGCTCAGGCACGCGGCAGCCAGCTTTTCACAAGCGAGTCCAAGGCAATTTCCTCGGCCAGCCCCACCTGGCCCAGAACCCCACCTTTAGCCCCTCCCAACAGGAGGTCCTCGTCACCACCGCTGGATTCACACCGAAATTTTGGTCAGAACGCACGCTGGGAGAGGTCCGGGGAGTAGCGGTATCGGTACTTGCTGGGTTCCTTTATGGGTACATAAAGAATGGGCAAGATGCCCAACAGCAGTCCCTGTCCATGTTGAAGAGGGTTTGTTGTCGGGGTTGCCGCCTGCCCAACAGTGGCCGCTGCCTGTTTTGGACAACGTTTGTTGCTGGGTATCGTACCATTTGTCCGTACCCACTTCGGGCGTCGAAAGTTTCCACGCATGCTTCCTTCTCCACCTCCAGTTCAGCCTCCCAGCTCTCGCGCCCGCGCAGGTCTGATTAGCCAACAGAGAGCGGTAGGGCAGCCAGAGTCGTCCCCGTGCGCGAACACGCTGAAACTAAAGAGTTGCAGACCGTGGAGTTCTTCTCAGGAGGCTGTTTTCACCTGCAGGGCCGCATGGGGGGCACCAAGTTCAAGACACCCTCAATTACTGGGGCCTGCACATTGGTGTCGAAGCGCATTCGTTCGAAGTACGGAGAGCCTCGATGCCTCCTCTAGTCGTTCTGTCCGTCGGTGTCATCCTCCTCCTCATCATCATCCTCCTCAGCGGTTATGTCTCGGCACGTGGATGCTGTGTCCAGCGGTCGAGGGGTCCCAGAGACAGAGGGACGGCAGTGAGAGTGCCCCCCCTCACCATCATCGTCATTCCAGCTTACGAGGCGGGCGAGGGCTGGGGAGTCCACGCTGACTCATTCTATATGGAGGCAGTCTGCGGGAGATCACCACCTAACTTCCAGGGGTGGCGCAAGGGCTCTGATGACGAACGAAAAACAAGCACCCAGACCCATAGGTGGGACGGAGGGGGCTATGGGTGCGTGTTGTCGTATGGTGGTCCCCGCTCGGACGGGAGCCCCCCACAAGGGTCCGACAACCCGCACCCTTAGTGGGCCCTGGAAACGACAGGGCCGTTTTTTGTTACCGGTTCCGTTTTGCTGTTTTTTTGCCGGTTCCGACGCTGTTTTTATACCGGTTCCGTCGCCGTTGTTTGACCGGTTCCGGCTCCGGTTCCAATCCTGGAGCCGTTGTGTTGCCGTTTCCGGTCGCCGTTTTTTTGCCGTTTCCATGTTCAAGGGGTTATTTTTCGGAAACGGTAAAAAAACGGCCCTGCCGTTTCCAGGGCCCACAAAGCCCGCACCCAGACCCATAGCCAGTCCTCCTACCTCCGACACTCATATGGGTATGTCTGTGCGCGTGTGTGTGTGTGTGTGTTTGTGTGTTTCTGCGCTTGTGTGCTTGTGTGTTTGTGTGCTTGTGTGTTTGTATGTTTCTGTGTGTTGTGTGCTTGTGTGTTTGTATGCTTGTGTGCTTGTGTGTGTGTGTTTGTGTGTTTGTGCGTGTGTTTGCGTGTATGTTTGTGTACTTGTGTGCTTGTGTGTTTGTGTGTTTGTGCTTATGTGTTTGTGTTTGTGTGTGTTTGTGTGTAAGCGTGTGCGTGCTTGTGTGTGTGTGTGTGCTTGTGTTCGTCCGTTTCTCCTCAGAGGCCCCTCACCCCCCCTCACCCGCGCCCCCTCCCCCAGCCAGCCAGCCCAACCGGCCGAGGTGCCAAGAGTGCAGCTGCGACGGGCGCCGCCGCCCCGGGCGGAGCCGCCGCGCGCGCGGCTCCAAGGGACGCCGCGACGGCGGGCGCCGGGGGCGCCGCGGCGGCCGTGGGCACCCGCCCTGGCGGCACGCGGCGGCGCTGCGAGCGTCTGCGCTCTCGGGCAGCATCGGTTTCCAGTCGCGGTCGGGATGCGTGATTCTCCTCCTCCTCCTCCATCCTCCATCCTCCTCCTCCTCCTCCTCCCCCCTCCCCCTCCCTCCTCCCCCTCCTCCTCCTCCTCCTCCTCCTCCTCCTCCTCCTCCTCCTCCTCCTCCTCCTCCCTCTCCTCCTCCTCCCCCTCCTCCTCGTGCTTCTCCGCCTCCAGGTCGTGCAGAAGGGGAGGAGAGAGGAGTGAGGAGGGACGATCGTCCACTCGTCAAGCGGTCAAGCAGCACCGTTCCCTTCGTGCTTCTGCGCCTCCAGGTCGTGCAGAGCGCCGGGCCAGTGCGGCCAGGGCGGGGAGCCTTGTCCTGCCAGCTAAGGGCCTGCGGCCGACGTGGCTCTGCGGCGGCGCGTCGAGGAGCGGCCCTCCACCACGCGCGCGCGCACAGACGAGCAGACATGTCAAGACAGAGTGGCAGAGAAGGAGAGAGAGAGAGAGACCACGCGATTTCTCTCGATCCTCGGCGCATCCAGGAACAAGCAGAAGTGTGAGTGAGCATGCACGATCTGTCCTGGCATGCTCTAAAGTGGGCTTGTGCGCAGTAAGACTGCGGGTGTTAGCGACAAACTGGTCCGGTCGACCGTGCCGGGAATTACATTGTGCCCTATCGCAGGTGGCATCATTGGCGGATCTCTTGACCAGAAGTCCGCGCGGCAGAAACCATTGATCGAATGAGTCATAGATTGCCCGCTGCTGGCAGGAGCTGCGGCCAGGGGCAAAGCTCGGCACACTCTGGAGTGCAGCGGCCTGGCTTCGACCACGAACCTGCATGCTCGTTGCCCGTGCCTCCGCGTGGGATCCTGGAGGTGCACAACGTGCGCGAGCCAGGGAGGGGAAGGAGGAGGAAGAGGAGGAGGAGGAGGAGGAGGAGGAGGAGGACCCCCTCCCCCTCCTACCTCTGGTGGTGGCGGTGGCAAGCGATCCCACCAGTCAGGGTTGGCGCAGGCCCGCATGGGGTCCACTCCGCGCCAGGCTGAGGTGCTCGGGTCTGGCCCCCCCCCGGGGCCCCGACGGCGCACTTCGTCTGATCCCCGCCAAGGGTTCTGACGACGTTGGTCCGGTGCTGTAGCAGGGAAACAACCAATGGCATGAACATAAAAACTCGGCGGCCCGTTCGGATTCCTCGGGGCGCTGGAGTCGCTGCCAAGGGGTTCCGGCGCGGATCCGAGGAATCCGCGCGGACCGCCGAGCTTTCTTATGTTTCTGGCATTGTTTGTGCCCCTGTGTTGAACAGGAAAGAAGTTGCTCCTGCTTCCCGCAGCGCAGCTGCACGTGCAGCTCGGTTCGGGTGGGCCTCCGAGCACAGGACTTATTGCGCCGTGCCCTCTCGGTGTCGGCGCAAGCGGCACCCATGGAGGACGAAGAGGCGGCCTGGAAGGGGGGCATGCTCTGATTTGTCCAGTGGCGCGCGCCAGGGGAGTTAGTATAGACCAGGACGAGAGGAACTCAGAGGAGGAGAAGGTACCCATACCGGTACCCTTCCCTCGTCTCCCCTTTATTGGCCCCCCTGGGAGGCCCTCGTCGCCACCGCTGGATTCGCCTCGAAATCTTGGTCAGAGCGCTTCCGGGGAGAGTTCTGGGGAGTAGCGATATCAGTACCTTTTGGTTTCCCCACCAGTGGCGCGCGCCAGGGAAGTTAGTAAAGGCCATGCAGAGGGGAAGCGGCAAAGGAGGGAGGGGAATGACCAGGGAAGGGTGATGCGGAGCCATGGCCAGGGAACAGAGAGAATGGCATGTTTTGGCTCGACGTCCAGGGGCAGTCGTCAAGGAGAGGCCTTGGAGCGACGGGTAGTCCCGTTGCGCTTCCATGGATGAGGGGCCCTGGGTATCCCGTCAGCCACGTGGCATCGAGCTCGGCCGCCAAATCGTAAAGAACTGGAGGACGAGCGGTGATCTCGACTGAGTGTCATCCACATTCCCTACTCGGAGTGGCTCTCTCTCTTTCGAACTGGCGGTATCCCCGGCACGGAATTGCGTTTCCGCTACAGCGCCGACAAGAGTATTGGCTCAGAAGGGTGAGTTGGTCACACTCCAAACTCAGAACGGTGTTCTCGCTCCAGCGTGGGTAGTCGGAATCGAGCTCTCGCCCAAGCGCTGATTGCATTCCCAGGTCCAGATGGTGCTTTCGCTGTAGCTCCAACCTCACTCAGTTCAGAGTGGTCCTCTTCGCTCGACGCCGGCATGATTCCTATCGGCAGCGACGGCCGCAATCCCAGCTCGGTAGCGACAGAAACGGGGGCAACTACGCCCAGAGTCAGGAATTGTGCACAAATCTGCCATCCGTGATGCCGCCACACTCACACGCATCCGCACATGAAAGTAATATTTGCTACAACCACTTTGGGTAGAGCCACTCTGCAGACACTGGCGCAGCAACCTTAAAAGACAGACACCTGACAGCCATGTCTGGCACGGCCATCAGGGGTCAACCAGACGTTGCTACAGTCACCTCTGGCACGGCAACTTGACAGCTTCGTTTGGCACAGTCACAGAGAAAGCACTTTGTTCTACCACCACTGCCGGCACGTCCACTTCGCAGTGCATCAGGCTGGGGACAGGCACTGAGATAGGGAGAGAGCGGGATATATATAGAGAGAGAGAGAGAGATACCTACCCCGCTTTCGCTTCCAGGCAATACCAAGTCATTCCACGCGCCTCCTCGTCAGGCGGCCTGACCAGTACAGGCCGCAGTTTGGCATCATTTGGTATCTCTTGGAAGCGAGGGTGGTCAAAAGCGAGGTAGGTTTGTTTGCCCCCTAGATATGCAGGGATCGAAACCGAGGAACAGGCCACACTCGAGGGCGGCGATGCCGTGATCAGAGCGAGGGGGCCGGACGGTCACTCGCTGGCCCTGGGTGTGTGTGGCTGCAGTGGGCCTCCGCGGCGCGGACTCTGCCTGTCGCAGCTGCTGCTGCTGTTGGTGGTGTGGTTATTCTTGCTGTCGTTGTCGTTATCGTTGCGTTGCGTTGCGCTTCAGAGCGTGAATTACCTACCCCGCTTTCGCTTCCAGGCAAAACCAAGTCATACCACGCGCCTCCTCGTCAAGCGGCTACAAGCTGTAGTTTGGCATCGCTTGGTATCTCTTGGAAGCGAGGGTGGTCAAAAGCGAGGTAGGTTTGTTTGCCCCCTAGCGTTGCGTTGTTGTTATCGTCGTCCACCCGCGACCCACCCGCGACCCACCCGCGACCCACCCGCGACCCACCTGCGACCCACCCGCGACCCACTCGCGACCCACCCGCAACCCACCCCGCGACCCACCCGCGAACCACCCCGCGACCCGCCCGCGACCCACCCGCGGCCCACCCGCGACCCACCCGCGACTGGACCCGCGGCCCAACCGCGACCCACCTGCGACCCACTCGCGACCCACTCGCATCGCTTTAACGAAAAAATCGGCGCCTGCAGCGGACTGGTTGCATAATAAAAAATTATGCGCCTGCGGCGGGCCCCTTCAGATTCTCGCAGACTGCCGACATTCCAGCCGCTCACCCGCGCCCCACCCGCGACCTGCCCGCGACGCATCCATATTGTTTTCACGGAACAATCGGCGCCTGCGGCGGGCTCGTTGAATAGTTTGAAGATTTGGCGCCTGCGGCTGGCTTCTTCAGAGCCTCGCACATTGTCGAAGTCCCCGTCCCCCCTCATTCTTCTCCACAACTGCGAGGTGCTCTCTCTCTCTCTCTTTCTCTCTCTCTCTCTCTCTCTATATATATATATATATATATGTAAGAGCGTGTTATACCGCTGCTGGCGGAAAACTGGGGGGGGGGTCAGTGGGGGTTCCCTACCCGTGCCCCCCCTTCGAAAACAAGGGGGGGTCACTACGGGTTCGAACCCCCTCGCCCCCCCCCCAGTCCATCATAAAAAGAGGGGGTCACTACTGGTTCGACCCCCCTCCCCCTCGAAAACCGAGGGGGGTCACTACCGGTTCGAACCTCCCCCCCCTCGCCGCCGGCAAACGATTCCCGCTCCTCGGGACAGTTGGACAGTGGTGGGGGTCCTGCGACAGTGGTGAGGAAGGTGGTGGTAGGGACAGTAGTGTAGGGACAGAGAGACAATGGTGCGGACAGTGGTGGGGACGGTGGTGGTGGGGACAGTGGTGGGGACAGTGGGACAGTGGTGGGGACCGTAGTGGTGGGGACAGTGGTGAAGGCGGTGGTGAGGACGGTGGTGGGACAGTGGTACAATGGGGAGAGTGGGGACAGTGGGGACGAGGACAGTGGGGACAGTGGGACAGAACAGTGGGACAGCGGCGGGGACAGTGGGGACAGTGGGACAGTGGTGGGGACAGTGGGGACAGTGGGACAGCAGTGGGAACCGTGGGGAAAGTGGGGAGAGCGGGACCGTGGTGGGACAATGGTGGGGAGAGTGGGGACAGGTAGACACTGATTGGAGGACTGGTGGGAACAGCGGGAACAATGGGAACAGCGGGGACAGTGGACAGTGGTGGGAACTGTGGGACAGTGATGGGTACGGTGGTGGTGGGGAGAGTGGTGAGGGGACAGTGGGAATGTGGTGGGGACAGTGGGACAATGGTGGTGACAGTGGTGGTGGGGACAGTGGTGAGGGCGGTGGCGAGGACGGTGGTGGGACAATGGGACAGAGGTACAGTGGGGACAGTGGTAGGGACAGTGGTGGGAACAGTGGGACAGCTCAGTGGGACAGCGGCGGGGACAGTGGGACAGTGGGGAAAGTGGGACAGTGGTAGGGACCGTGGGGGAAGTGGGAGAATGTGACCGTGGTGGGAAGAGTGGTGGGGACAGTGGGGACAGTGCGACAGTTGTGCGGGCACTGGTGGGGGCAGTGGGGACGGTGGTGGGAACAGTAGGGACAGTGGTGGTGGGGATAGTGGTGCTGGGGACAGCAGTGGGGGATGTGGTGCGGACGTTGGTGGGGACCCGGGAGTTGTCTGCCGGCGGTAAGTGGAGGGGTTCGAACCGGTAGAGACCCCCACCCGGGTTTCTGGAGGGGGAGGGGTTCGAACCCGTAGTGACCCCCCTCCGATTTTCTGGAGGGGTGGGGGGGAGGCCCGGGGGAGGGTTCGAACTGGCAGTGACCCCCTTCGGTTTTCCGGAAAGGGTTGGGAGAGGGGTTAGGGTTAGGGGGGGGGGGTTGCCGGGGAGGAGGGGGGGTGTCCAGGAGGGGGGGGATTTTCGAAAGGGGGGGGACCCCCGGGTTCCGGAGGAAGAGGGGGGGAATTTTGCACAGTAAAGCGGCGGTGCATCGCGCTCTCTCTCTCTCTCTCTCTCTCTCTCTCTTTCATATATATATATATATATATATATCACGGAAAGCGTAGATCGTGATTCGGCTGCGAGCGGTGATCAAAGGTTGGTTGATGAGGGGCATTCGACAGGATATAGGCGACCCTGCCGATTCAAATGCAAACCAGTGTGGGCGGCACATGATTACGACAGCTCCAAGTGGAGAACGCTCTGCGTTGAATGATGCAGTTGCAGGCTATGTTCTCGGAACCCGTGGTGCACACCCATGCGGTTGTTGCCGTAGGGTATGCATCATTGGCGCAGCCACCTCATATCGGCATCATCTCTCTTCTCTTTTCAATTTGATTATGAGTTGGTGTTGTGTTCAGCGCTTTAGGCGATGGAGTCGTAACTTGAGGTTTGAGGGTCTCACGGTCGTCCTCGTCCGGCAGGATGCGACGTTTATTCAGCTACCAATGCTTCTGGGCAGGTGTGATGGGTAACGAGATCATGTTTGAGCTCACTGTTTTGCCAGATGGTGAAACAAACGCTCTTACGATGCGCACATCAGGGGAGGAGAAGGAAGAGCGAAGGGGGGGAGGAAAAGGAGGAGGGAGACGGGAGCCAGGACAAAGTGAGGAGCACGAGCAGAAGGTAAGAGGAGAGAATAAACAGGGAGCGGGGATGCCTCGAAGGAGACAAACTGGGTGAACATAAACTTTCGACGGTCATTGCGGATGTCTTGGATCGGCGTTGGGCTCCCTTGGCGGCGCCTCCGGCACCGCCCCTGGCGGGGGTTCAGCGCAGACCCAGGAAACCCGCGCGGGCCTTCAACAACTGATCGGACGGAGCTAGGAGGAGGATAAAAGCATTCCAGAGCGTTCTGAAACCCTTTCGGAAGGCCGCGGTGCCGGAGACATCCTCCAGATCCGCTGGATCTCAGAGATTCTCGATTTATATTTACCAGTTGTTATCCTCGTCTTAGCGTCGTCTTAGTTTATCGTTGTGCAGTTGGTTCCTCCTCTCATGCCGTAGCAGGATGGAGCAGAAGGAGGGGTGCAGCAGCAGCAGCCCCTTCAGCGGGGCCCAGAGCAGGCGCTGGAGCACGACCACGACCAGAGGATGACGAGAAGGACGAGGATGAGGTGGAAGAGGATGCTTACAGAGGCCTGGACATGGGCACCAACACCAACGCACTGGCATGCCGCAACCAGGGGAAAATAACCCTAGAATTCGGTGTTGGTAATAACACTTCGGCCACCTAGGAAGCCAAACTACTACCACCATCGCCGAGGTCGGGAACACCTTCCCTCGGGGGACGGGGGAGGACCGAGAGGGGGAGGAGGAGGAGGAGGAGGAGGAGGAGGAGGAGGAGGAGGAGGAGGAGGAGGAGGAGGAGGAGGAGGATAGGCGTCTTGGCTTCGGGCAGCCCGCGGGACATAGGGCAGCCCATCGGCCAGGGACCCCAGCGTGGCCGCGCGGCCGCCATAGCGAGACCACGCCTCGCTCGGCTGCCGCTGGAGCCCGCGCTCGATCGAGCCGCTCGCGGAGCCGCGAGCGGGAGCCAGCTTGGCACAGGCACCTGCGCCGTCGGCGCGGACAAGCCAGATCACTTCTACGGGTGGCAGCAGCCGCTAGGCTGCTGTAAGAACATCATTCATCACGGCGCCCCTCAGGCAACGCCCAGATGGAAGCAGGCGGCTGGACTTGCAAGTGTGGCATCAAGTGTGCACCCTGGTCCTGGTCATGCTCGGCATGTGGCGAATCATGGGATCAGCGAAAGCGTGGCAGATCACAGCCCAGGACAGTGCAAGGCAGGCCGCAGTCAAGGCCGCGCTCAAAGGCACGACCGCCTGTAAAAGAGCACTATGGCCAGGAGCGACAGGTCAATCAGCTCATCGGCAGGAGACCGCCAGCATTGCACAGTCAAGCAGTGGCGCATCCCCTCTGGCAGGAATGGCAGCCACCACCAGACCACACGGGCATCAAGGCCTACAAGGACAAGCTGAGGACAAAGCTCGAGGCGCTGGGCAGCATCTGCCTGGCCACGCAGAAAGCCGCCAAGAGCGACCAGGAGACAAAAGAAGAAATGGCGGTCCTCAAGCATTGCGCCAACCTGCTCAAGCCGCTCAGCCAGCAGCGGAACGAGGCAGTCCAGCGCATAAACAACGTGGAGGTAGCGCTCAAAGGTACCAGGGACCGCCTGGCACTCCTGGAGACCCATGAGATGGAGCAGATCGAGCAGCTGGACGAGCTAAAGGAAGCCCTATCGGAGATCGACGACCGCATCCACCAGGAGATGATCGACCTGCAGCCCGCGGTGCAGACGGGCGACAACGGTGCCACAATGCAAGTCGACAGCACGGGCCAGGTTCAGCAGATGCACGTGCAGCAGCAGCAGATGCAAGACACCATCTTTCAGCTCCAGAGGGTCATCCAGGCCTACGGCATCTCGCTTGGGCCGCAGTTTCAGCCCAGCGCAGCGGGACCGCACCCAACCCCGTGGCCCACAGACGCCACGGGAGCAGTGGCCTTGGCGCAGGCAGCAGCGGCAGCGGCGGCAACAATGCCGCAGCAGGCAAATGTGCAGCAGCAGGCGCAGCAAGCTTTCATCATGCAGAGGCAGATGGCCTACGAGCACGAGCAGCGCATGCAAAGGGAGCACTACGCCGCCAATTTGAGAGCCGCCATGAATCTTGCGGCGGATGGACAGCCCGCTGCGGGACATCATGCAGTGGTGCAGCCTGCAGCGCCGATTCAGCCACAGCCAGCCAGCCCAATACTGGTGCAAGCCTCAGCAAGTGCGCCATTGAGAGGAGCGCAACCATTCATTACACCAGAGGCGGAGGCAGCGGCAGCAGCATCGGCAGCCGCGCTCGTGGCGAGAGAAGCGGCAGAGGCGCCGAAGCTGCTGGCATCACAGACTCAGCAGCCACCGCCGCCGCCGAAGGGGGAGCCCCTTTTCTCCCAAGGGCACCCCTCACCCAAGCAGATGTGGGCGATGCCAGAGACGCCAGTCCTCAGCATCCAGCAGGCACAAGCGCTGATGCCAACCCCACCTTGCTCCCCAGGGCAAGAGGCTTCCCCTTGCACAGGGCCTCCAATCAGCCTGCTACCAGGAGCACGCCTCCAGGGGCACGGGGCAGCTACAGTGGCGGCCTTCTCAGCCAAGGGGGCAAGCAAGGGCGATGCAACAGCTGCAGCGGCAGGAAGAGGTTGGCAGAGGGCGACCCACACCCAGCTGCACACAACACACAGGCAGTGGAAGAACCTCAGGCCGCTGCCATAGAGGACGCGTGCTCGGCGACAGTCATTGCCCCGACACAGCAGGCGTGAACTCGACCTTCAGAGGCTTGGTTGAGAACGCATCCTACCAGCAGTTGGCAGGGAAGCTCAGGGCAAGTGCCATTTCATGGACAGCTGAGGCGGCTTGGAGCAGCAAGGATATTGCGAGGGCAGATTGGCTACTATGGGGCGCACGTTGCGTGTACACAGCCATTATCAGCCAACCAGGGCTCAGGGACTCGGTCTTGGATGACGAAGGCTGCGCCGACGCACATAGGACGCTACTGTTGGCGAAGGCCATCTGCGATGAAGCTTGGGATGAAAGCGACAGCAGAAGGACAGCCGAAGTGCGAGCATTAAAAGCTATGAAAGAATTCGACCAGCAGCAGTGGCAGCAGTGCATCCTCCAGGGCTTCGGTACACTCAGGTGGCAGAGACATCAACTGGATTTACTTGCGGGGGGCAGGGTTTTCTCCGCAGCTGCTACCGCATCAATCTGGACAGACCCCCGATACACTTACTACCACATCAAGTCGATGCTCAATTATCTCAGGAGCTCAAGGGGCAGGGCATGGTATACCGCCAGGGCATGACGGTCATCGTATGGCAAAAGGCTTTCATAAGCCCTATCAAGCGCGCTCACCTGCAGCAGCTCGCTCAGGATGAGTACGAGACACATGATGATACAACAGGTCAAGTCAGTCCCATGTACAAAAAGCACCACATCTACGAGGACGTGGACGGATGCCATCCGCAGGACGCGCGCTACATCAACAACAGCGACAACTGCATCATGGCATACCCCAGCTCACAGCAACTGCAACGAGAGCCTCAACAACGCGATGGGCACGTCGAGGTACGGCACGCAGTATGCAGGGGTACAGTGGAGGAAGCACAGGCTATGATGGCCAGAGGAATGCTTACAAATCAGCTGGAGGAAGAAATAGACCATTGGGCGACAGAAGCTGCAGTTTGGTCACCGCCAGAGGCCCAGGCTGACTGGAGCATGTGGTGTTTACCCCTGGTCGATATGATGCTGAGACAGGATCCAAGCCTACAAAGGCTATGGACCACAGATCATGAACGACGCATTCTGACCAAAGACATATGCGATAGGGTTTGGTACTCAGGGCACCAAGCCAGGCAAGAGTTCCTCCGGCAGTATCGCCAGCTCTTCGACAACGATCGAATACAAGTGCTACATATGGTACATCGGAGACAACAAGAGCTACGACAAGCACGGCAGCGACTAGCGGGGATGCAAAACATTCAGATCAGCAGTGACCAAAACGTTGATACTTACATCACCAGGCTTGACGTCCTTACGTCCAGAAGAATATTCACTACGTCCTTGCTGCAAATCGGAGACAGGCCCACGCCGATGATGGAAATGGACCATCCACCCGAAAGCGAGGTGGGCAATCCACTACTACCAGAAGTAACGGCAATTGGCGCAAACCCTGGCGCTGAGATACCGCTATTTGGGGAAGAGGTCAGGGACGAAGTCGGCGACATCGCAAGCTCGGATGACATTGACAACGTGGTGCTCATGCAGACGGAGGCTACCATAAGCATATGCAACGAGCATATACAGTCTGTCTCGAGCTACTACGTCAACAGGCTAAAGAAGTACCTCCGCCTCAGAGTAAGAACATGGATCAACGCGTACAAGTTGCAGCAAGATTGGATGAAGTGGAGCGCCCCACACCTCATGACCGACATGTACGTCTTCCCTATTTACAGCCAGATAGCTAGTACGCATGGCGACAAGCGGAAAATGGCCATGGAGATGTGCTGGGGAGCCTGGCAAAAAGGGCAAGTTGGCAAGGGGAAGAACACCCAAAACTACGATAAATGTGACTCCAAGGACGGCGACGAGGAGCAGTACTACACAGACGAGGTCTACAAAGGAATGGGACGTATCGAAGGTAGCTTCGCAACTAATAACCAAGGATTCGAAATGAAGGAGTGCCAGGCCCAGGCCAGCTGGACAGCCCCTTTTGCACCTGAGCCAGAACAGCCACGGCACGAACAAGTCGAGGCCAAGCGAGCAGAACTTCGCTACAAGTTATCCACCGCGGCACGGGCATGGAGCTTCGAGCAAGCGATGTGGGACGCGAATGTGGCATACAACGACTGGCTCTATTGGTGCATCCCAGCTGTCACAAGCGATCTACTACAAAGGCCAGAGTACAGCCACAACCTTCAGGAGGATCTGGCTGAACTGGCTCAGCAGATATGCAATGAAGCATGGCACGCAGCGCAACCACACCTCAAAGAAGTTGTGCAGCGACTACGGCGCGAGGCGGAAGTAGACGAACGAAGGTATCGAGCTCAGACGCTGCACGGACTACTTCGCCTGCGCAGAGCACGAGCACAGCTGGCACTACGTGCGCAAGTGCCAGGTCACGTGGATCTAGAGCGAGATCAACTTCGGCAAGTACTAGATGACTTGAAGTGTCAGGCAGTTGATCGCATGCAGCCAGGGCGACCAACTGGCAGGACGGCATGGCAAATGCTCGCACAGGATGTACATGATCCTCCACAGGTCTGGCAACACCTGCTTGCAGCACATCGTGCTCACCGAGCTGGCGATGGAATTGCAAAGGAGCCACCAGCCCCACAGCAACAACAGGATGGGCACGAGGAAGAGGAAGAACTATGCGACGACATCAGTGACGTCACCAGCATGATGCAAATGGATGCTTCTACGCGGAATGTATACGACTACATCGATGGCACGGCTCCCCCTCCAACGAAGGTGGAAGAGACGCATCGCTCGAAGCATCCCACAGGGGATGCTCGCGGTGTCTCACCACTGGAGGAGGGGGTTGCATCTTCAGACCACTGGATATATGGAGATGGTTACTACAACTAGCACAATGATACCAGTGATGGCATTGAGTTGGTAGATGAGGCAACAAGGCATGCTGCTCAAGGACCTGGTCAACAACAGGATGGGCCTCATGAGCATCAGCTTCGAGATGGGCAATGCGCTGGTCGCAGCGCGACGGGATCGAACGGGGGAAAGAATATCAGATGGGGGGAGTAACCATCAGAACGTATGACCCCGATGTGCCTCCTGTCATCCAAATTCAGGTGACTCCGCTCAGGGCCCGAGCCACACGGGATCAAAAGCACGCGTACCAGGAGTTGTTTCGGCAAGCTCGTTCCAGTGATGAAGTGCCGCAAGCCAGCGTCCCAGGAGAAGATGTGACCCAAACAACCTCGCAGCAGGTGCCCAAGCGCCGTCTCGACCAGGACCAGGCACATGAGGACGCTGGCAGGCCAACTATGAGCTGCAGCCATAGTAAGAGTCCTTGTGCTAGGCAGTCTGAAGCTGTTCATTCTCCCGCCAGGCTAAGCACTGACGCAGATGCATGGTCTGAACTGAGCCGCACCGATTTTCCAACTCAATGCAATGCTGCAACGGCGCGCACAACAAGCATGCCAAGCAGCCAGCATGATAATAGGGAAGGGCGAGGGGGGGGGCGCTGGCAGCGAAGTGGCCACTCAAGACTCCTCGGACCTCAGCAGGGCAAACCCGAGGCCAGCAAATCTGAGTCAGGTGTTGGACTCCCCAAACCCCTTTGGCACGCTTGCGTTGGCTACCATCCCATCACGAGCGCAAGATCAACTCTACTGTCCGTTGCACGCTTTGCCCACGCTCAGGGATGCACTGGGAAGGGAGAGCCCCCCGAGACTGGCGCATCTCACCGTTGAAGCGATGATCGCCACCGGTGTCCTTGAGGGACCTGCCCAAATGGCGATGACCTACTGCCCATGCCGCTCCACGTCCTGCGACCACATCTATGTCTACACCGACGGCTCCCTATATCGGGAGGGGGGGGGCAGCAGCATGGGCAGTGGTGGTCACAGGGCATGATCAACAGGGTTTTGTCGACTTTGGGCAGCTGTGCGGCGACATTGATGGGTCGCATGACATGGAGCTGTCAGTAGAAGCAGCCAGCAGCACGACTTTAGAGTTGCTTGCTAGCATATGGGCCCTGATATGGATAGGCACCACCCGCCCAGGCTGCATGGTCAGCCTCATCAGCGACTCCCTCTGTGCGCTCTCCACCTTGGGAGGGTCTGTGCTGCCAGCGTCGGACAAGGAATTAGGCACAGTTGCTCACGCGATGTTCCAGACGGTTCGGTCCCAGGTCCAATTGGACCTTCAACGCCAAAAGGCTCACGTCGGGCACCCATGGAACACCCTGGCCGACAACGTTGCTAAAGCCGTGGCCATCAAAAAACCTTTTCCTTTACTGGGGCTGCCGATTGGCCTCATAGGGGCCATCAAATATGCTCCGTCCAGAGAATGGGAATGGCTGCAGTATAGCACTCAAGACAGCCATGCTTACCCCCCCCCCCCCCTTGTTTTTTCCACCAGGCTGGGGGAAAGCTTCAAGGAGTGTTGCCAGACACCACGGCCACAGCTGGCCACGTCTATCAAGGGCCCGAGAGTCCAGGCCCAGTCGCTGTCAAGCAAGCACAAGCGGTCGTAAACATTTGCTCGTACAACCCACAGTCCATGAGGGAAGAGGCCCGTAAGGGCTCCAAAGGCAAGGAGCGCATGCGCAGGCTCGATCTGCTTCGTGAGCAATTCCACCGTGAGAAATTTCACATCATTGGCATACAAGAAGGAAGGAACGAGCGTTCACTCAAAGGCCATCGCAGCTTCTCACACGTGAGGATTGCAGCTGGTCGCGAGGACCACAGCCTAGGAGTGGAGCTCTGGGCTGACCTCGACACCCCCTACGGCACGCTAGGAGGCAAGGAGCTCAGGTTTCAACCGCAGCATTTTCAAGCTCTGGATGCCACGCCCAGGATCCTCATCGTAAAAGTCAATGCGCCAGCCTTCCAGCAAACGATATGTGTGGCCCACGCCCCACATAGGGGGGCGCGTGTGGCGGACCGAAAGGGGTTTTTTGGATGAGCTTAACAGGAAGTTGGACATCTGGCCATGTGACATTGTGTGTGTTGACGGCAACGCAGCAATGGGTTCGGTGCAATCACAATGGGTAGGCAACGCGAGCCCAATAGAGCAAGAGGACACGAGCGGGAGCTTCATGCATAATTGCCTCAGGACCAACAAGCTCGCGGCCATCAACACTCTTTTACCTCCCACAGATGGAGGACACTTACGTCTCCCAGAAGAGAATGGGGGAGGCTTGACTACATCCTGCTGGCCGAACCTCTTGTGGCCACGGCTCAGTCATGTAAGGTGCTTTATGATTTGGAGGCGCGCCGTAAGCACGACGGCCATTTTCCCGTGATGGCCCAACTTGCTTGGGATTCCCATATGGCAGGCCTTCCCAAAGGTGATAGGCCCATCGACCCCATCAAACTTAGGGACCCCAAGCTTCAATATTTGTTCGCTCAAGGGTTGGATGGATTTCAACTTGATGATTGGAGTGTCAATCTCAATGATCAGTACACCAGAACTGCGGATTTTGTGAGGACGTTAGGACAGACCACCTCCGGTAGAGAAGCCAAGAGGGTCCGTAAACCGTATATTCGACCTAGAACGGTTCAGCTTGTTCGGGTCCGACGGGCGTGTCGCAAGGCACTAAAGCATGTCAGGGGGCACATCAGTTTCTGAGGCGGTGGGTCATCTCTTTGCGCTTGCCTCCAAAGTGGCAGAGGGAGAGCTCAGGGGGGATATGGCTGACGCTTTCCCCGCCGACCCCCACCCAGTTTGGGGTGCCACGGACGACCCCAACAGAGCCTGCAATGGAGATGGCGCCATGCTGTCTCAAACGATGACCGCGGTGAGAGAATGTTGGAATTTAGTGCCCACGGAGGCACAGGCCTTCGTGGATAAGCGGGCCCGGCCCGAAGAATTTACGCTGGCTATTGTAGGGTTCGTGCACAGCACGTAGCCTTTACTGCGAGAGCTCATAGATCATGATTTTTGCGCCCTACTTGAGCAGCAGAGTGAAGGGATCAATCTAAGCGTAGATGCCAAGCGCCCACGCTCTGAGTGGGCAAAAGTCAAGCGCTTGCTCATGCTAGGAGGCAAAAGATCCAAGAAGCAGGCCTTTTTCCCGCTCAGAAAAGCACCAGATGGCACCATTCTCACCACGCTGGAAGCGCAGGCTGACGATCTCCAACGCCATTTTGGCGAGATCGAGTTCGGCTTGGACGCTCAACCAAGCGACATTGCTGCAGCCTGCAACTCGGCTACGCCAGCTCCGCCGACTACCACCACCAGAGAGGTCACGAGACTCATCACCAAGGGTGCTCTGCAAAGGGCCCTGGCCAAGGTCCCTGCAGGCAAAGCCACGCCTGACAATATCACGGGGGATCTTCAGAGGGTTGTGCCAAAAGCTCTGGCGAGGGTCTGGCACCCAGTGCTGTTTAAAGCCAACATGATTGGCACCGAGCCATTGGGGTTCAAGCAGGGAGTTGTCGTTGGTATCCCCAAGGGCCCAGACGGGCCTTATGCTTCGAGCAGAAGGAACATACTGCTCACCTCGACTATCAGCAAAGTGTATCACAAAACATCCGCGCGCAGGTCCAGGCGGTCATGGCCATCTCACTGGAAGCATCCCAGTGTGGAGGCAGAATAGGCATGGGGACGGATTTTTCTACTCACTTCATAACGGCTAAGCTGCACATGCACATGAGAGCAGGCAAGAGCAGCATAGCGCTTTCTGCAGACTTAAAGGCCGCTTTTTACATTGTGATCAGGCAAAGCCTTTGCAATATGCCTGACGAGAGAGAGGATTTTGATCTCGCGCTAAGCAACTTGCCTGTCCATCCTGCCCTCTTGCATGCGGTGCAGCATATTGCCCAGACGCCTATCTTAGATCAGTACTCCACCAGTGAGCATCTCAATGCACTTTTTTTCGGCGGCCCTATCCCCTGGAGTTTGGGCGTGCAAGAGCGCCAAAGGGTTTAAGAAACCCATGCTGGGAACCAAACCTGGGACGGTCCTAGCGACCGACGCTTTCAACTGCATGCTTTCCCCGATGATTCGGGACCTCCAGGCCAGGCTTAATGAAGAAGGGCTCACGTGGAAGCCAGATTTGGAGCCAGGGGCCGTTAGGTTTGCGCAAGAAACGGATTTAGACCATGCCCATGATACCATCTCTTTCGTCGATGATCTCACTGTACTCTGCGCCATCGACCAGGCGGCGGATACACGAGCTGCGCCTGTGAAGGCCACCGAACACTTGGCAGACGCGACGTTTAACAGCGGATTGCGGCTCAACCTAAGCAAGACCGCGGCGCTTATTATTCCTGTGGGACCAGGCACCAAAAAGGCTCAGCAGGAGTTTTGGGGTCCCCAGGGCTGAGAAGTGTACGTCCCATCCCTAGGAGCGTCTGTTCAAGTGAAGCGAACTGTCAAGGCCCTGGGTGCCATGGTTAACGATCGTCTCGACATGTCGGATGAGATAGCATACAGGAGAGCCTCGGTTGCCAGTGAGGTGCGGCCTATTCAGCGCACCCTCGGGCCTCGGAAGAAGCCCAGACTTGACCTGAGAGTCAGATATGCGGAAAGTTTCGCTCTCACGGGGCTTTTTTTACAATGCTTCCATTTGGGGTCAGCTCAGCACACGACTCGCCAAGATAAACTTCTCAATGCTCAGATAAGGCCCTACAGGGCCGCCCTGCGACTGTCGATCA